GGGTGAAGTTAACCGGTGGATTAAAAAAATCGCTGGTGGGCACTGAAAAAACAGGTTCACTCCCATACATATGTTTCGCCGACAGCCTAAAAACACGTCCTTCCCTGGGATCGCTGCCACCCTTGGCGGCACAACCCAGTACTGCACATCAGGGAGGAGAGGTCTGGGCTTTGCATCTGTGCTCTCTCTAGCTGCCAGGCATATAAAAACATCGTGGGCACCGTGTGGAGACAAGCAAAGTCCATCTAGAGATAAGGCATAGATTTCAGAAGTGAAGGTAATTTGTGCTGAGACAAGCTGCATTTCTTCATCACTTCAGATAGAATCATAGAACGGTTTGGGTTGGAAGGGACCTCTAAGGGCCATCCAGTCCAACCCCCCTGCCCTGGGCAGGGACATCTGCAACTAGAGCAGGTTGCTCAGAGCCCCGTCCAACCTGACCTGGAATGTTTCCAGGGATGGGGCATCCACCACCTCTCTGGGCAACCTGGGCCAGTGTCTCACCTCCCTCAGCGTAAACGATTTCTTCCTTCTGTCTAGTCTGAATCTCCCCTCTTTTAGTTTAAAGCCATTCCCCCTTGTCCTGTCGCTACAGGCCCTGCTAAAAAGTCTGTCCCCATCTTTTTTATAAGCAAGGTCACAGACACGCAGAGGGGAGAGGATGCAAAAAACTGCTGGAAAAAGTTGCTGAGAATATGTTAGGCAGGAGATTGAGGTAAAAGACTTTAAGTCCTCTCAGCCTTCCTAGTTTGCAGCATCTCTCTTCTGTCAGTCTGTCTGTCCCCGCTGCTTACAGTCATTGACAGCCACACTCCGGTGTTTAACGGAACCAGGACTCGGGAAACTGGGTCCTACTCTGGCTCTGTCAACGCACCGCTGGTTGTCAGTGGACAAATCGCTTCTGTTCTCTCTGCCTCGGTTTCTCCAGCTGTAAAATTAAGGCAATTTTTTTGCGTCCGCTTTACGAATTGCTTTGTGATGTGCGGGTAGCAGTTACCCTAAAATAGAGATGAAATCCAGACAGCTGCAAGTGCGATCCTGGTGGGTGCTTTCTGTCCCAAGCAGCTGGATCAGAAAGCCCCAAACTGAACGGGTTCAGCACAAGTGTCTTGGGATGTCTGGGCTGGGCTTCAGCCACAGCCTGGATTTGAACACAAAGGACTAGTGCTAAAGAAAGCTACTTGGATTTATCCTGATGAGATATGCTTAAAGTGGATTATAACTGTGTTATACCGGTAGATAGATGTTGATAGATTAACTGTCTGACTTAATTCAATTGGGAAATGAAACAAACCACACTGAATCGAGGGTATTTGCACTCCAGATAAAAGTGTCTACCTGGGGTTTCCGTGCTTGTTTACCAGCTCCTTGTCAAGGTGAATGCCGAACGGAGATGAGAAGCACCGATGTTTTTCGAGCCTGTTCCCTGGGCTCTGCCTCTCATGCTGTTTACCCAGATGTCCCCAGCCCCTGGGTGCTGGGCGCCTCACGCTCAGCCGTGGGGTTCTGCTGACATCTCCTGGCTGGAAATACCCCGACGGCTTCAGAAGGATGAGCTGAAGCTGGGTTTTAATTAAGGGCGATCCCGGGTGCAGCAGGATCCGCAGTGGCTTCACGCTGGGTGGATCCCAGCTCATGGTCAGTGCTCAGGCAGCCAAGAAGCATGAACCCGTTCTTCAGCCTCATCCTCCCTTTAACTGTACCGTGACTAGAACCGCTCCATCCCACCGGCGTATGGAAACCCGTCAGCTCTGCAAAGGGCAGAGACCTCTGCCTGCTGTGAGGGCCGGGGGGGCTATAGGAGATGCCCGTCAGCATTCAGAAAAGGGTGTTAACGCTTTGGTTTCCCTTGTGCCCCTGCTCCCCTCCAGCCCCTGCTGCCTCCCCCAGGCCCTGCTGCCTCTCTCCAGCCCCTGCTGCCACGCTGGCGATGGTGGCTGTCC